CAAAAAGTACTCGACTACATCACTGATTAAATCGTTGTATTTCTGAGCGCAGGCTCATTAACATTGAATTTTTACAATAAGACGAGCCATAATCAGAAGGCATCATAAAAATATTTCTATAAATCCCGAAGTTGGGACTAATAGTTGCCAGTTCGGGGCATTTCTTTCACAAAAAGCCCCAAATTGCGGACCTATATTTTTGATAGAGGGAGGAGGCTAAATTCAGAAATGAGCGCTTAGTTTTACTGCTATTTTGGGGGTATCTTCGTTCAAAGGCGAATAAAAAAATTTTCGGCTAACCTCCAAGAAATTGAAACGAAAAGTGATCTTCTGGCCATAATCTTGAATTTCCAAAGAAAAACGGAGGCCAACCTCTTCACGAGAGTCAGCAGGCGGCGCTATTTTGGTCCGATTTTGCACTGTTTTCTATGGATGCACTGACCCAATTCAAGCTCCATTGAAAATAGTGTAAAATCAACCAAGTTTGGAGCCCCATGGCAGGCAACTGAAGTCCTTGAGGCCTCTCAAACAAAAAACGTGTTGTTTGGTCCTTCAGATTTAATGTGATTTTCAATTTTTAGTAGGTTAGCCAATGATTTTTTTAATTTTCCGCCCAAAACAAACTCACCGCCCAAAACAAACTCACCCCCCAAAAAGTGAATGTTGCCAAGCCTTCCCAGCGGCCATTTTTCAAATGACATCCCTCACTTTCTTAGGGCTCTTCTGACTTATTTTCAATCCCATTTTTGTCTGCTTTGCCCCCAGATGGGTGCCCATGAATCTACAGAGATGATCCTGGGCCATACTGACATAATCGCACCATTTCTTAGCCTAAACAGACCCGTCTTTTCGAAACAATCTCCGAGGGTGCTTTTGGGCGCCTACGCCTGGCACAGAATTTTCTTTGAATTGGGACACTGCACCCCTGTGGGCACGTACTTGGTGGAGTGCAACCCCAATTGACTGAGGACAATGGATTGTGGGAGGGCAAAGGTCAAGCGATGCTATTCTTCGGGTTTTGGCGATCGCGTGTGTGTGAAAGCTGTCGATTATTCACCCGGGTACGCACCAAAGCGGGTAAGATGAATAGCCGGGTTAAGCGTATAGTGTGAAACCAATTCTCTGGGTTATTTTTACCCGGATGTGGGCAACTATCCGGGTAATAATTTACCCGGGTAATAAGAGCACTGTGTGAAACTGGTATCTTCTGAGGATAATTTCTAGCGAAACTCTGAGTGACATGTGAAGCAAGATCACGGAGAGCATCCCCCCAAACCTTTGTGTTGGTCATTGTTTAATCGGAATATCAGGCATTCTTTACAGACATCTAGGCGGGATGTGTTAGGCAACAATACTCTAAGGCAGTGTTGGAGTCGAGTCCTCAAATCCGAGTACAAAGTACTCCGAGTACTTTAGGGGAAGAGTCCTGGGCCGAGTCCGAGTCCCAATCTCCGAGTCTGAGTACATCAAAGGCCGAGTACTGGGCCGAGTCCAATTGCAAAGCAGAGCAATAAACAAATAAGTAAATAATTAAAACTGGATTACACAGGCACATGGTCTTCATGCAACATAAATCTGCATGACCATGTGGATATTCACACCTTTTATTCATGTCAAAATGTCGATGCATAAACTGGCAATGGTTATTTTTACCGTTCTAACCAAACAATGTGGCTGATGAGTACCTGTGCAGAAACCTTTACCAAAGACTTAATTTAGTACATAAGGAAACCCTGAGATGCATTCGCGAGGTATCGATTAACCGCTGTACTCAAATTATACCCTCGAGTATACTTGACGTCCGAGTACATGCAAAATTCGCTTACATAGAATAGAGTACGGGCCAAGTCCAAATAAGTTGTACCGAGTACGAGTACTCCAACACTGCTCTAAGGTGTGTAGCTGGGATTGGAGTGTGGGGGGTACCCTTCCGTCCCAAATCTTGCTGGGTATATTGAGTGGCCTACTTTACTTCCACCTCCCCGTACTGAAATTATGTGTCACTGAAATGGCTTCCACCTCTGAATCTGCTACCATGGGATTGGTGTGCGACAATGTCCACTCAGCCGTTTTAATTTGCCACAAAATGACCAACTTGGAGGGAGGTTCATCCAAACATGGTCTTGAAAATGTCCCAAAGGCCACGGCAACTGCAGAACCAAGCCACTGTGAGAGCCCAATTTGTTGTACATGTACGGTTGCTATTGCTGTTGGTTGTTTAGTTGTTGCTTGCCGAGATTGCTGTTGTTGCTTGTTCTTTTTATTATTGGTTGTCGCTGGTTGTTGGCATTTAGTTTGCTGTCAACTGTTCGCTGTTAGTTGTTTTTGTTCGTTGTTACTTATTTCCGGTAACGAAACCAAACATTCCTAATGAGCACTCTAAGTACACTGTGCTGCAGTTTGTAAGCCTAAAGAAAGGTGGAAATAAGAAGCAGTTCAAGTTTTATTGGTGGGAAGAAACCCCCAGAATATTCTCCGTGAAACCCATTGAATCAAGTGGGGACTGAAAAGCCCAAGCTAACCGAACGGGGAATAGTACCCAGGCCGCAGAGGTGAAAGGCGAGGGAGAAAAGCACTCTGCGAACCCAACTCCCTGTCTATTTCTCAGATAGACAAGCCGGATAACAACTCATATCTTCCAACCTCTGTGTTTATTGAACACCGTACACTTTGAGTTCATGAGCCACCAGAGATAATGGCGGAAAATGCGAGGGTACGCAAATCCTCGTTGCACTTGATCAGGCTAACTTCGTAGCTACCTCGGCCAGCCTTCTCGTTCATCGATTTGTCTGTGGTGACCCTATTTGAGTACAACCTTGAACAAGAAAGTTTCCTGTAAGCATCATATTTCTACTCTTCTACACCCAAAAATATAAAAAATAAATATCGATACAAAATGGATGCAATAAAAGCCATAAAGAAAATATATCCAAAATATATGTCATGCACGTTGTTAGAAAATAAAATCTTGTTACCACCAAAAGATACAGCCTTGGCTTATTTCCATTGTTACCTTTACAAAAGTTAATAGAAAAGACGCATTAAAATGTAGTAAGATACACCCAAAATAAAAGTTTGCAAAATAAATCTTGTAACCTCTGGGAAAAAAAAAAAATGTATGAAAGAATTAACTCTTCAGGATTTCTCCTCTTCATGACAATTCACATTATTAAAGGAGAGAGATCAGCCGCACTCGCCTCTCTAATCCTGCTTCCTCCTGGTGGTTGGCCGTAAGCTATCACTGATCCATTTCATTTACGGTTTCTCCAAGACCTGTGTCCAGCCTTCCCTCTTTGTGGCCTCCAGAGTCCATATCAGTGCCAGCGGGGACATACTGAACCCTCTCACTGGGCCGGCGCTTGTCTCGATGGACTCTAAATTCTAGTATGCTGTAGAGAACAAGAACTGTCAACAGCGCCCCTACTGTAACGGCGATCACATGACTGGCACAGACAGCCTCAGTGACCCCCAGGATGGAGATGAAGGCAAAACCCAGGGACTGCCAGAAGCAGAGATTGCCAAATGCCGCTTCCTTCTGGTCCGGGAAGAGAAGTCCAAGAAGAACTAATTGATACAAATTTGGAAAAAGAATTGAAAAAAAAAAACAATAAATAACACATCAACAGATTCAGCGCAAGTGTATGGTGCCCCTGCATTCCAAAATGTTTTTGAATCCCCCTCCATGATCCCCACAACCAACACACGAGCTTAACCTTCACCTTTCTACATGTACATACAGGGTGTCTTCAAAAAAAGAAACCAAGATTAATTCATCTGTTTCTTGAATGTGACTAATCAGTTTTGTAAATGGTAACCATAGTCTGTGACAGTTTGACATCCTCTTCTGTACGACACCCAGAAATTTAAATTTCTGTCACACATGACTGAGCTTGTGGTTTAATGAACTGTGTCTGAAATGTCTGTAAACCAGATGTATCACAGGTTTGCACAGCGTGAAACTACTACCAAAACCCTCGACTCAAAGGCAACCTCAGATAGGGACTTATTCTTGCAGCAGCTTCACCCCATGTACTCCAACACGCCCCCCATTTCATTCGATGCAAACTTCTGCCTTTGTTCTCATCTCTTTTAAATTGGTATCATGAATTTGGAGATTTAAAGATACATTACTTAATTCTGACAAAACAGCCATCTCTTGATAGTATGTATTCAACACCCACACTATTGAGTACAAAGCCATTTCATGTTCAGTCACCTGTATTCGAAATTTGGATTATTTTGGTGTCACACGAAATAGGACATCATGATAGAACAGATGATGGTTACCATTTACCAAAACAATTAAGTCACACTCAAGAAACAAATTTATCTCAGTTTCCTTTTTATTAAAGATACCCTGTGAAATGATGACAATGTCTGATGCTACTCACTTGATCCGATGGTAGGAATGGTTGCCCTTGGGAACCCAAGTCCGGAGGCCATGGCGAAAAGATGCCACAGTTGGCCGCTTTCTGGATCCCACAGTGCCATGACTAGCAGCAGGAGGAGATAAACAGCTGCCCCAGCAAAGAAGACTGGCACACGGCCCGTGTACTTCATCAATCGGCCCATCACAGGCGAGATGACCACTGCCGTGACGTACATGGATACCCCCACGAAGCCAACAGCCTGAATGCCTTGCGTGCAGCCAATAAAAAACTAAAATTTTAAAAAGATAAGAGTGCAAGCCGACAAAAAAAAAAATGGATTATTTTCAAAATGTTGTCCTTTGTCCTCCACCATGTCTATCACAATTCTTAACTTTTATGAGCAAAGTTTGAAGATCGACAGAAGTAAACTACTTTTCAATAAATGCAGTTTCTTCCATTTGCTTCAAATTATGCAAAATTTGATTGAAAGTTTTTGATGCCCTGCATGTAGACATACACGTAACTTGGATCTTACTGTTTTGTTCTTTTGTTGTCATAAATTACACAATGGTACGTACCTTTGTGAAGTGGCCAGCGGTAAAAGCCACGTCAACACCACCAAAAGCCAGCAACGGAATCAGCAGGGCCATCCGGGGCTGTCTCATCAAGCACAACGTGGACAGCATGCCATGGAATAGCTCCTTGCTTGTAGAAACCACCTCTCCTGCGTCGGTGTCCGGAGACGCTTTTGGTGGTACTCTCTCCAGACAGACTACGGCAATGACTACCGCAAGTATCCCAAAGCCAACATAAATTGAGAGCAGCAGATTGCGACTTCCTTGGTCAGGGGGAACAAGAGCCCCGGTGCTGTTGGCAATGTCACTACTTCCTTTTATAATAAAAAAAATGAATGAAAAATTAGCAGTTGCTGAGAGGAAAAAAAAACGTGATGGGGTAAAAGAAATGTAGGGTTGGATTCTATCCCAGCAAATACAACATTGGCATTACTTTTGTTGGTTTGACTTGTTTCACAAAAGTGACCTGTTAGAAATAGGTATTAGCGGGGCATTTTTCCGTGATGATGATCAAACTTGAGTGAGCAGATATGAAGATACATCTAGACAGTGTTGATACTTTTATGACCACTCTTCGAAGGCACAAAAAATTCAAAGAATGTAACAATCTGGGAGGCAGTGGAGCTGGAGTAGAAGTAAAGCATCTCAATGAAATGGCTGCAAACCATCTTTTGAACAAAACTGGGGAAACCCCAAATAAAAAAGTGATATGGGCAATGGCTGTAAACCTGAAACTTATCCTGGTTTGATCAATACACAATTAAGATACATGTATTTTGTTGAGTTTCGTCAACCTCCTGTTTTGGTTAGTGTTTGATCTGCCACACCCTCCAAATTTTTTGTGCAAGTCAATAACCTGTCAGAGAGCTTAAATAACTTATCCCTTATAATCCGTATTTTCAAAAAGGCACTTGATCGATGTTTAAACTTGATGTTTCTCAATATGCCTTTTTTTGAGTTCGGCTGCTTTGGCATACAGAAATCGCATGTTTCAAGTAATGCTCCTTAACATACAAGGTACCGCTACGGCAACTTCCCACTCAGATGCCTCTGGTACATTGTAGCTTCAGTGCAAACCATACTGCACTTTTTTGACCAATCCAAAAGCACATGTACATGTTGATCCACAGCAAGCTGGAATTATGGTTGCTGTCCAAATGAATCTTCCTGTCATGTATCAGATAAAGGGTATTTTTCCCCTGAAAAATTCTATTTGAGTCCTTGAGAGCACGAATGATGAGACAATTACCATTCACTGGCCTATGACATGATTCTTACTGCATGTACATACCACAAGCATGTATTCCACAAAATCCCAGGTCAAAAGGTTCGTCGTGGTCCATCAACTGCCATCCTTTCTGAAAAACCAGAGACGATATCACGTTGCCACATACCGTGCTGGAACGAGATACACTAAAGAAAATGCCATGCAAAAGTGCTACGTCGGCTGCTGGATCTCTCTGATTCACTGCGGCTAACTCCATAGCAACAGCTGTAATATAGGTTCCCCTGGAAACCCACACAAAGGCAGCACCAATGCCGAGGACTGTCCCAGTGAAGATGAGCAAGTAGGCATTGGTGAAGTAATTACCTGCCGTGTACAACGTGAACAGACTCATCCCCAGCACCATGCTCCACTTTGTTCCCAACTTAGAGCGGATGACAGCCGGCACCAGCAGGCCGGCTACAGCGCAGCAGACATTGAGTATGGCCAGGCTAGCCAGTCCCGCGCCCTCGGCACTGTTGAGAGTACTTTGCAGATCCCGCAGACCCCGGAATGCGGTGAAGCACAAGAAGTAGCAGACGCTGAAGACAAAGAATCTCTTCCACTGGAGCCTGATCGCACGGTGACGGTCAGAAGTGCTGTCCATTTTTACCTGGAAAGAGAGTCCGTGTAGATTAATTGTGAAATGTTGAGTCCATGGTCAATTGTGCCGCTGCAGCAGGTCATTAAACTTTGTCAGTGCACAAAATCCACTCTCTAGTTCTTCCCTTGTTTGAGTACACAACACATGCACAGGGGCATGTCATTAGTGAAATAATGCATTTACAGTAATTGTTGCTGGTACATGCTGGAATAGCACACACACAGCACAAAATATGGAGACTACGTGTTGGTCCAGATGTGTCAAGCTCTAATATATTCTGTCCAATTGAAGGCAAATTAGACAATCAGACAATCAATACATGTCGGTCTCGTACATTCACTTGGAGCATCAAAATTACTTTTTCTTTTGCATACATGTTTCAACATGTACTTTGGTAGTTCATTATCCATGGGTAAGCAGAAACGTATACGCACACAAACACTCTATGTGTGCTAAAGAAATTAAGGCAATGTCTGCATGAGTCTGCGCTACCTGTGAACAATTTCCAAGTTCCATTTGGTGAAACTGGTTCCCATCCATTCAGTCCTTTTAAACAGTGCAGTATTAAATTCTGCCTTGTTACAATCTTTGCTGCACATGTTCTTTAAGCTATTTCTTTGGTCCCTTCTAAATGTACACAAACTCATTTACTGTTTACTTCTTGGGCCTGTGCTTGATGTTGATGAGGAGTGGGGCAAGGGTGATAGGGGTTCACTCAAGCTCTACTGAGTGAAACGTTAGTATTCCTCTTTCAAATTTTGGACGGTATCGCTAGTATTAATCTTTTTCCAATTTTGGACCTCTTTTTGAATTTTGGACGGAATCAGTAGACCGATCCCATCCAAAATTTGAAAAAGAGGAAAACTAATGCTCAGCTCGGTAGAGCTAAGTTCACTGTAACTACAAAAATGATGGCGAGGTGATGAATATACACTACAAACATAATAAAGTCAGTGATATAAGAAAATGTTTATAAGAAAACAAACACATTTAAGCCCACAGTTAAGCTTGAAGCTCCAGATTAGGGCCAGTTGCCTGGACTATATGTACAGTATGCCTACATGTACCTGCAGTCAGTACTTTCCATTGGCTGACCCTGGATAGCTAGAGTTGATACATTGTACATGTCTGACCCAACTGAGCATGCACCTGAGCAGTATGCATGGTAGGTTACGGTACTTCCAGAACTGTAAGGTTTATACAAACCTTGCAGATAGTGTACAAACCTCTATAAACACATTTTGGCTGTTTTGATTGTGGCAACTTACCTTTCCACCACAGCTTCATGTATTTGTGCATCAAATTTCATACATGCCTTCTTGGTGGAGTTAGCTGACAGACTGGGAGAATTATTCACCTTATATCCTCATTCACCCTCCTATGCTGAAGTCACTCTTTGGGTCACTTGGTAAACAACTCAAAGAAGCACAGCTGTGTCCTGTTGTGCACTGCACCAACATGCAAGAGAGGCACTTGTGCATATTTGGGCACTTGTGCATATTTGTGCTGTAAAACCAACAGAGGGTTAACCCTCTTATATGGTTTAACAACACACATATGCATGAATGCCCAGAGTCACTCTTGTGCTTATGTTTCCTTTATGGAACACAAATATGCACAGCTTCAATGTGCATACAGTTGGTTGCCTGCACAAGATGACCCAGGCTCTTTTGTGCATTCCTCCTCACTGCAGTTGGTTTACTACACAATTGTGCACATGAAATAATGACGTGCAATTGTTGGACAACACAAAAGTGCAATCAGATATTCCTTTGTCTGATAGTTGGTGCAGTGCACAACAACACAGCTGTGCATCTTTGTCAAGCTTACCAACTGACCCAAAGAGTAGCTTCAGCATAGGAGGGTTAAAATGGTGAAATTCATGAGCAATTTTGCCCATCCACACTACAGAAAATCAGCAGTTTGTACTCTCAATAACTGTCAGCTGTGTGATAGCTTGACCAATCGCGACACAGCTCCTATCTTTCTGTTTTTCTATCATCCACAGATGAACGCTGCACTGTAATTGGTCCAGTTTGCTTCCATTCCAATGACTAATCATAGCTCAGCTTTCATTAAGATGGGGTCAGTAAAACAAAACGAAAAGACAGGAGCTGTGTTGCAATTGGTCAAGCTGTCACACAGCTGACAATTACATGTATTATGGTTATTGAGAGGACAAGCTGCTGATTTTCTGCAGTGTGGGTGGGCAAAATGCTCGGACAATTAACTTCACCATGAAGGAGTTTGAAATTTGGTTGTACAGCAGACATGATGGAAGTCTTAGTTGGCACAATTAAAACTGCAAAAATGTGTTTGTGGGAGTTTGTACATGGTTATCTGTTACCCCCTGAACTGGGGGTCTGACGGGAGGGGGGAGGGATGTCGGACCCCACTGGAACTTAAGTACATGTACATGGTAGGCCCTACTGTAACAGTTGAGACATACATGCAATCGTACGTATGAAGCCAAACCATGGTGGTTATGTTTGTATATGTATTGCACATGTCCATGTGTATTAGACTCGCGTTGCAGCCGTTCGTCGGTATATCAACAGTAAAAAACACCCCCAACTTGCGTGAATTGCGGTAGTCAAGCGGTTAGAGCATAATGGTTTGTGATGCATGGGGTGCGGGTTTGAATCCTGGGTCTAAATTGTGGGTGGGGAGGGTTTTTTTAAGGAAAATAAAGCCCGAATGCTATATAGAGCCTAATTTCACACGTTTGAAGTCTTTATGGTTGGTTGAGCATCTAGTTGTCATGTATTGTGCATGGTTGTGAACCGTGGTTTGGCTTCATACGTATGATTGCATATTATACATGTAGCTCAACAGTCTGCAGTTGGCATGGTTGGTAAACTGCTGCTGACACGGTGTATCGACAGATCGAAATTCAACCAGGTCAGGTCTTTCATTTCTTGAACAGTGTCTTTTTAAGAAAATCGTTGTCTATTATGAGCTCTGTACCCAGGGTATCAGAAAAATTCCAAGTATTTTCTAGGACATTTGCTAGTCACAGAGTTTGGGCCTACATCATGTGGCTTTCATCGTGAATAAGTCCCCAAGCTTACCCACCGTACCACGCACGTACGGATGATGAATGATCATGTGTCCTCATTTTACCTATGACCTTGAGAGTGCAATTTCAACAGAGGGCGCCCTGAGAAAAAGGTGCATTAAATTTTATGTGCATAGGCAAAATGCAGTAATTAATGTCATCCTACATATTAAGAATAACTTCTCTTTGTAAAAACACTTGAACAGATTGTATTCATGTGCATTTTATCTGCAGGGCTATAACCTAAGGTGTTCTATTTACGACACACATTAATTTCTGCCTCTCTCTAGCCTCTATCTTCCAAGGCGACCCAAATACACACGACGCGACGGCACAGCCGCCAAATGTGCGTCGTCCCGTCGGCCCGACGCCACGGACGCGACACCACGGGGCGTTTACAGTAAGACATGCCATAATCAGGAGGGATCATAGAAACATTTCTATCAATTCCGAATCTGGGATTTTCTGGAATTTTCAAATTTTGTTTTGTTTTGTTTTTTTTTTCATTATTTTTGTCAATAAGATATGAGAGAATCTAATTCGAATTGATGCAGAGATGAAAAAAACACGAGAAAAAAAATCAACGCCTGCAGTTCAGGGCATGTTATTTGCAGGGTGCACCTTGTATTTAGGCCAGAAATATGTCCGCCGAGCTCATCCAAAAAGTTATACACTCAAAATATTCTATATTAGAGGGCATGCTGCTCGTACCCGCCCGACTGTCAGTTGGACTCTGGCACTCGAGTTTGTTATTTAAGAGAAGTCGTCTCGGCAACATCGGGACGGAGCAGCGAGACATCCTTTAATAATTGTCAGCACTGCATTGGACTGGTCCTTGAAGACTCATCTCTAGCAACAACTTCATATTTACTCCTGTGCTTGTCTTATGAAGACTGTTGGTGAGTTCATCTGAAATGGACTGTAAAGTTTGGCAGGGACAATTTGTGGCCGTTCTGACACCAGCCTTTGCTCCATTTGCAGACTGCACATTCCAATCAACCCAGCATTGCTGCAGAACTAGTTAGTCTGATAAATTTATCCTGTGTGTGAGCACCTGACAAAATGCATGTGGCCACACAGACTCACTGTCAAACCCCATAATAATGAACACAGAGCACATCAAATATACTTTACAAGCATTACATGGAGTTAGATTTCTTTTATTTTAATAGGGTGTGGGTGTGGCGTGTATGGGGGGGGGTGGAAGATGGGTCAGTAACCCAGCTAGTACAATTGTGGCTAGGCTGTGGCGGGGGCAGAGCCAGGGAATCATAAAAGAGTCATGATGTATCCTCAGCTTGTAGTTTTAGGGAATTTGGCAGCCACGACCAGGGATTAACCCTGACATCTAGTCCTAAATCCTCCGATTTCAGTATAATTTTACGTGCACCAATGCATAGCATTAGTGCCCGTTGTGTACAGCTGTTGATCTTCTGTTGGTGTTTCTTTATTACAAAAAAATGAGAAATAGCCAAAATACCAGTGAGTCGGGTAGTTGCTGCGCCCTGCGTGGAAAGAGGCTAGAGAAAGGCAGAAATGTGTGTCTTAAAAAGTACACCAAGCAACAGATGTCCAAGTGTTTGAACGTCCATAGCATTCAATCAAGATAAAGCTGGGGATACTGTATAGTCATGTTTCTTTGCGTTAACATTGCGCAAAAACAAACTTGAACCGTCAGCGATGACTTTATTGAGCCGTAACGTTGTGCACAGGCGGTATACTTGCCTGTGTTTGTTTGTCTACCCTTTACACAGCGTGCATAAAAAGGGCCAAAATTCGTTCCAACACTCAAGAAAGCCCATACAGGTAACTACTGTAAATAAATCCTCAATTTTGTGGGAATCTTCGAAAAAGATGCACCCCCGACAATTTTGTCCCAGATCCGTAGGGGGGGGGTTACCGGTGGTCTATTTGTTAGACTTGTGCACAAACCTGGTGCTACACAGTGCTGCACGTGAGTCAGACATGTTCTACGCGTATGCGGATATGTGATGCTTTCACAGCGTACCTGTGAACTTCTGCTCGTTAATGCGCATGCTCAGTTCTGTAGCAGCGTAGCGGTGCTACAGGGAATACCGTATGGATTCGCCGTATCATTTCTGGCTGCATATGTGTTGTCAAGCATCGAACTGATATCCTGGCATTTTGGGGCGAGGGACACTCGCTTTTGTCTCGTCAATACAGTGCCGTGCAGTAAGCAGATCCGTCGTTTGCCGTACACAAAATGACAACTTTATTTCAGTTTTGTCAAACTTCATTTCGACCTGCCAAACTTTAAGGCATCAGGATCGCAGATATATTTAGGGAAACTTTCAACTAGATCAATGTCCTTGTAATTCATCGACAACAAATTAATGAATTGCGTGTTTCATCAACTTTGTTGACTCCATAAACGTACTAGAATCATAGGTACAAACAAAACGTAAGGGAGAAAATTGTTTGTTTGTTTGTTGGGGTTGTTGGGGTGTTTGTTTGTTTGTTTTGTTTGACATGATGTTGTCTTCTTTTTTTCGCTCTTTTCATTTCTTTTGAAGCTGGAAGAACATTTTGTTTGGGCCTTACATTTATTGGTTCCCCTACTACCCCAAATTTGTCTTGAAACAAAACTAATTAAGACAAGACTTAGGACTCTAAATGATGTAATTCACAAGCAGCTTGGTGCCAATTTCACTTTTAGTGACAAATTCGTTAGACACGTTGTTCAAATGTGATGACCAAATTTTGCAGATTACTTGGTAATTTGCCAAGAAATAGGTAAACCGAAACTAAAGTAGCAGGAAAAACAGTACTTTATCAAGACTCGCGTCGCAAAAGAATACAAGAAAGATGATAGACCAAGAAAATGGCAAATATAGGCCTAATGTGTACCGGGCTATGACGACTGTATAGTGACACACGATTCTTCGACAACCGCTTATTACTGACAGAAATAATGCCATGGAAACTTCTAAAAAATGCTGGCTGTTGTCCAAATCAAGTGAAGGCGTTTGCACTTTGTTTGAGCTTATCGATTAAATAAAGACAAATTTTCAGTATGTACCCGCATCTTCAATAACTGCTGCTTACTTTGTAAAAGCAATCTAACTTCTTTTGATAACTTGCCTGCCAGAACTTGAATTTAGAAGCAAACAACTTCAACCAACTGCAGGTAGACGACGAGCATTCGGGTCTTTATAAGGTTAGAAAAGTTTCTGAAATGGCAGGCAGTGTTTCTTGGTGTGAACTTGATCTCTTCGGCTTTCTGAAGGCCGCCCTGGTCCGTTTCCTCTTTGCTTTGCACGCCGGAGCTTGCGTGGTTCGCATCGTGGACCTGGGTGACGGCCTTCGCCGCATGTGGCCCGTCTACATGTATGCCGCTGTCGTGGGCCTCATGATGTTGGACGCGATCTGTTGCCACTGGATCTTCAAGAAATCCTGGAAATTGTAATAACATTGATCGTCACAAGTACCTCTTGCTTACCGCAACTTTTTGAAAAGTACATTAATTCAGGTGACGGCTTGTAGATTGCTGATATCTGCCCACAGTTTCTTAGTTTCCCTATATAAGTAAAGAAAAGTATTTCAAAAAAGGTGTCATAATTATCACCATTATTGTGAATGCTTGTTCTTAATCAAAACTATAATCATAACACTGATCTTAAATGATCTATGTTCTACTTTCAAAACGCAATCTGCCAAATCTTCCAGATTTGTGAGCCCTGCTACCTTTTCCTGAAGCCTGTATAAACGTCCAGTTGCGTATAACCTGGGACATGTGCTGGGGGATACCGGTACGGTACGCTCCCAGTGAATCCCTTTTCGATTCTGAAGTGCCCGGGGGAGGGTAATAGGTACATGCTAACACATAATACCCAACCCTCCTTATAATACCAAAGTCAACTTAAGCCCCATTCTAATGTGTGGCTATATATCAGAGCTTTTACTCGTCCTGAATTGCTATTGTCGGCTTATGACTTCATGGCTTTACGTTCAATTGGCAGTTTCTCGCCTACCATCGCACTCTACATCATCTGCACAGCTGTTTGCCTCTGGTGGATGGAACTGACAGAATATCAGATGAAACAAGACTACGAAAACACCACCGATTACAATGAAACATCAGATCCAGTTTTTCCAAAAATACCACTCTCTCCAATCGAAGTCATTCAGGTAAATATTGGCATTTCTTTTCCCGGGCATTTTATCAGGGTGTCAAATCACCTTGTTAATCGGTGAGGATTCAACAGGGAACAGCGGATTTTCACGATAAGATACGAACACAATAATACCACGGCAAACATTGATACAGAGTACATACATGCCCCAAAGCTAATCATTTCGTACCACTGTAGGCCCAGCTCTGTGTGAGAAAGGTAATTGTTTTCACTGAAATAATTTTTTTCCTACATTGGTATAGATTCTCCTACCACTGGAGCTGACGCTGCCAGAATGGTCCGACATCCTTCTTCAACTGATGATGTTCATCCTCATCATCGGGCGGTGGCTCCTGCCCAAGGGTAAGTTGTCACGTGACCAGCTTTCACAACTGTTGTTGGTGCAGTTTGGAATGGCCGCCGACATTCTAGAATTGCTCAGCGAGGGACTCTCGGCTGACTTTGTGAACACACAGGGCGTCCTATGGGTACTGAGCGTGTGGAGTTGGAGTCTGCCGCAGTTTACGCTTAGTCTGACCGTGACGAGAACAAGGAAGCCTCGGTGTTCGCCTCGTCTGGAGGCGCAAGTGAGCTCCCGGGAGGAGAGAAATTACTACCGATATCGTGAACTGTGCTGCGCCACGGAGATGTGGTCTATCTTCCTGACCCTCTTCATGCAGGATGTGCCCTTCCTGATGCTTCGCCTGTACATAATTTTCTCAGGGATAGTGAAATCAACTGTAACGACACAAGCGGTCTTCTTCTCGTGCAAGAATGTTGTTATCATCCTGCTCCAACTGTACCGCGTGGGGGTGATCCTGAGCGAGAACCGAGAGGAGAAGAACACGTGGCAGCTGGCTCAACTGAGGAACGCGCGTGAGGAGAGGCATCCGGAGATGCCCAGGAGGAATACTGAGGAGCTAATTGAACCAGGTCCAATCACCTGCGAGGAAACTACAACTGGTATGGTTTGGCACACTCAGCAAGCAGGAATGTATAATCCACCTAACTGATCAAGACTCGTGTCCAGCACGCAGACAGGCCATCGGTTAGGCCCCAGCAGCGAACCGCTCGACCTTTTGCCATCAGACTCTGGAAGAAGCCAAAACCAGTCGTGGCCTGTCGCCATAGTCGAAGAGAAAGAGGTTTCAAGCAAGCTCACCGAAATAATTGAGCACTGCAAGTTTAGATCATGCCAGCTTGTTCAGCCACTTCCACAGCAGGGTCACGACCCCCACCAGGGTTCCATGGAACCTACTGTTGATGCCAAGTTATGTACAAAGCAGGCCATACCTAACTAGAAGCCCTAAAACCCACGTGCACCGCATTTTTCAGAAAGATTAAAATTTATATTCTTTTTTGTATACAGTCACCTACGCCAATTGTTGTGTTAAAAATAACGGGCTTTCTGCCACTGTCTGCAGAAAATCATTTCGCAGAGAGGCCCTCAAATATTTCGAAGGCTCCCAAATCTGTTAAATTAAGAACGTTGAAAAGGCACAATAACGTATCAGCCCCCGGCGACCGTGTCCATTACAACGGCCCACGCTGCACCATGTGCCCAAATTGTCTCAGATTTATTTGCGGATAGAGCGATCCCTATTCAATGTCTTTTTTAGTCTTCTTCAGTATAAATCAGATGGAAACCTTCCTAGGAAGACTTCTCAGTATGTTTTGTGGCGGAAGTGCCCTTTTGGGGGGCATGGTCTA